ATTTCGTTTGTTCTTTTATAATTGAACAGTCTTCAGAAATCACGGTTTCATTGAAAAGAACAATCACATCATGGACTTTCTTTACAAACACTGTTGGAGTTATTTAAACTCATTTTTTTTAAAACACCGCAAGCGTTGCAGAGCCAACTAATGTTACCTATTTTAATATTTTATTTTAGAAATTTACAAGGCTGCCCAGGTCTATAACAACTCTAGATGGTGTACGGTGAAAACAAGCATACCACACAGCTAAACCGTCAGATGTGAAAAGAGAAGCAGCAACTAAAGTCGAGCGAATATACAGGGCCCATCACCCGCTCTCACCTAAGGCTCCAAGGAAGGGCCAGGGTTTTTTCAAGCTCTTTTGAACACAGCCAGGGTGAAGGGTGAACCTATCGCAGGAGGTTAGGCTGATCTTAGGCTGACCTTAATAAAGATTTGATCGATTGATATCTCAAGAGGGATGGTGTTCCAGAATGCAGGTGCTACACTAGTTCTATCCAGTGATATTGTTTAGTGGATAGGATCTTGGAGCATGACAACTCCACACATCCCAAAGGTGCTTTTTCACAAGGCAACTGGACTTTCTTGTTTTTCTTTGAAGGCATTTCGCTTCTCATCCAAGAAGCTTCTTCAGCACTGATGGGAAGCGAAACATCTTCAAAGAAAAACAATTGCCTTGTGAAAGTCCAGTTGCCTTGTGAAAAAGCACCTTTGGGATAACTATGATAGATAGATAGAGAGATAGAGAGATAGAGAGAAAGAGAGAAAGAGAGAGAGAAAGAGAGAGAAAGAGAGAGAGAAAGAGAGAGAGAAAGAGAGAAAGAGAACCTTTATTGTCATTTTTTACTGTGGGCACAACGGCACACACCAAAAATGACATTTAGTTGCCCGCTCTCAAAGTGAACACATACATAACATACACCTAAACATGCTATATACAACATATGTATAGACTTATACCCCTACATATACGTAACATATAAATAATTAAACACTGTCCATCTTGAATATATAACGGAAGGAGGAAGCTTGAGAATGACCTGGATGACTGAGAATCTCCATAGAAACTCCACACTTCATACAGAGCAGCTAGGAGCCACAGAACTCAGAAGGTCTACTAGATAATCAGACCCTGTGCCAAGAAGGACTCTCTAACCAGCACCTTGAATTGCACCTGGAAGCCAATCAAAAGCCCAAGCATCTCGTAGAGCAAAAATGTTATGTGGGCTTGATGAGATATCTCCATGGAGATTCTCAGTCATCCGGGCCATGGTTGTCCCGAAGGTGCTTTTTCAAAAGGCAACCGGACATTCTTTGTTTGTGTTTCAAGGCATTTTGCTTCTCATCCAAGAAGCTTCTTCAGATCTCTTCATACTCTCTTCCTCCAAGAAGCTTCTTCAGATCTCTTCATATTTTCATCCAAGAAGCTTCTTCAGATCTCTTCATACTCTCTTCCTCCAAGAAGTTTCTTCAGATCTCTTCATATTTTCATCCAAGAAGCTTCTTCAGATCTCTTCATA